AATATCCCTTCTATCCCTACAAAACTTCTGGCTGCTTTTTAGCTCTCTGAAACAGCCTAAAAAACAGAATATTTTTTTTTTATAAAGGAACATCTGTGAATCACAAGAATTGCATGTACAGTCAATTTTGCTCAATAAGGCTCTTCAACCTATTACGGGCCTCTTCGGACAGGTTGCAGGCTTTGAATCTTCGCCTCTGGGGAGGACATGATTCAACAATGCTTTCAATGGGTGATAAACATACAACAATCACAGTGAGATTATCCGATGTATGCAGGCGCAATGCTTCCTTGACTAGTTCCATAGCACACTGTTGTGGGTCATTATGCCTTCTTAATCCTCGTCGAACAAGACTAACTGCAACTTGGCTAGACATTACATCCCAAATCCCATCACACCCAATGATCAAAAACTCATCCTCCTCGGTCAATGTAGCCAGTCTTACATCTGGCTCAGCAATAAGAGGAGATGCAGCACCGAGTGGAAATTTCAAGTCCCAATCTCCAAGGGCACGGGTTACTGAAAGATAACCATTGAGGTATCCATCATCAATAAATCCACCTACCCCCTCCACCCTCAGCCGTTCCGGCAGAAAACTTGGCCTGTGATCGTTAGACATCTCAACAGCCACACCCCTCCGGCAAAGAACTGCTCGGCAGTCACCAGCATTAGCAACAAGCAAGTGCCTTCCAAGTACAAGGGCAGTCAATGCAGTCGTTCCACACGAACTACTAACAGTTTGTTCATCAGCCAAGGCAATATCTGCCCGTAGAAAAGCTCTCCTATGGGAATCCTCTAACTTCTCTAGAAAGAACGAATCAGTATCATATGTCTGCAGCATGTCCGCATCTTCAAAAAACAATTTCATAGCATTTCTCTTAACAAAAGCAGCAGCATCAGGTCCTCCATGACCATCAAAAACTGCATAAAAAGCACTCCGTATCGGGTACTTGAACACAAATCCAAGATGAGCACCTAGATCGTCAATACAGATGTGTTCATCATCCATAGAAACCCGCGGCCCAATCTCAGCATAGCTACCAGAACGCGCATTTGGAACAAAACTAGCCGCAGGGGTCTCCGAAATGGAATGCTTAATGAAATCAGAGTGATTCACTGCCTGCTCAACATGTAACAAAAAAGTCAGCACAACAAAACTAGAGATCGACTCAAAGTTTTACAGAAAAAACATGAACCTGACCATTAAACTCACCAAGCATAATAGCTCGAAATTACTAAAAAGAAATCAATAAATTTCAACTCAGTGAGGAGCCTACGTTAATGGGATAATAAACATCCAATTACAAATTCTACTTCCAAAATTCAGATTCGTAAACTTCACAAGCACTAGTTCCTAGTTAGGTAGAGAGGAGAGATAGGTAATTAATTTTGGTTGTTCGGTTTAGGGAGGAGAGGTGTAGAAAAAACTGATGAGACCACTCTATTATTCCTCAACTATTTCTTTTCATCAATTTATCACTACCCTTATTTTCCATCAAATCAATCAAATTGCTCGACTTTCAAAATACTTTCGCTTCTCACTTATTTCTCCTCTATCAAGCAACTAAACCTTCAATTTATTTCTTACCTATTTATCTTTTCTCACCTTAATCCTTCTCCATTTTCATCCTTTTCTACTTATTTCTTCTAAACCAAACATACCCAGAGGGGTATTGGATCTTCCCACATTTACCAATAAAAAGAAACAAAACCAAATTCACAAACCCGGTTCAGATTTGACAGTAAACTAACCTAAAAAGACGACTCAAAAACCAATTCCTTCAAGCAAATTAACCAATGATAACCGCAATTAAAATCAAACCCGAAAGGCAAAAATATACAGGGATTGGGACAAAATCATACTTGGCCAAAGATCGGAACAGAAGGTGAAGGCGATTTGGGCGAAACCACGACCTCAACGTTGTGTTCTTGCGCAACGCAAATATGATACTTCACGTCCAACATCGGAATGGACTGCTGACAGATAATTTCCGCTTCCGCTACCATCTTCGGACTCACGATCATCTTCAATCGCCGTTCCGCAACGAAATCAACAACTAGAATTTCCTTGATTGAATTTGAAGCTTTCGAATTTGGAGTTTTCTCTGAAGAACAGTGACAAAATTAGGGCTTTTCTTTCTTTCACCTCTATGAATGAGTCTGCTGCGAATTCTGCGCACAAGATACTTAAAAGGGTGCTTAATCCGACGCACGAGTAAGCAGGTCGGTGCGCGTGGTGTGAAAACTCAAAAATGCCCCTGCGACACGGTGTCGTATCGTGTTTGCATTTTCTCTCTTTCTAGACACTTCCACGAAAGGGTATATTTGTGACGCGAGGACAAGAGCGTGGAGTCGTCACGCCTCTTCTGATGTACATCAAGTTCGTGAATATATAAAATGACGTAAATATCCCTGGATTTGCTTATGATTAACGTTTCTTGCGTTAGTTTAGTACCCGCAGATTAGTTAATTAATCCAAATTTAAAAGTTTAACTTTGCGGCCAAGCACGTGGCAATCCATGAATTGTATGGTTGAAGGTTGAGGTTGCGTATAAGTAATTATAATAGTGAGGATTGTTGCTTTGACTTAATAAATTGTGAATAACTTACAACCACGTCAAAAAAAAAAGTTGTGGCTGTGGCTATGGATACATACAAAATATTCCAATCATTTATTCTCCACACGGATGAACTTATCAACATAAATTTTGTAAAGTTATTATCATTATGAGTATAAGATAAAATTTAGTGACGTCCTTTAAATGGAAAGAGCCACTGAAATTGAGAAGTATGACTTACTTTATTCCATAATTCAATATGAATCTAACATTTCTTAAATTTATACTGCTTTTCTTTCTCAAATTCATTGAAATTTTGTGCCTATAAGTTATATTCAGTGATTAAGTTTAATCTGCATGAAGGTTCATTCAATAACAAGAAAAAATACTAACACATACAAGTAACATATGCCTATGAATTATGTGCAATTATTATAATTTTCTCATTTGTGAAGGTGGATTCAAAGGTTTTCTTTTTCTATATAGAAGTAGTAAGGTTATTAATTAAGGGGTTGACTGAGAAGGAAAAGTAATTGCTCCCCGTTTTCCCAATGTTCAAATTCCATGCATGGTTGAAGTTGAAGTCTTCATTTGACTGTTATTACTATTGGAAAAGAAGCTATGGGAAACACCAATGGCTTCCATTTCAATCAGACTCTAATTTTATATAGTTTTCCATACAATATCTTTCCGTTAGTGGCACGCTTAGTCATAATCTGGTTGCGTACGATGAGTTGAGTTTGATTTTGCTCTCTCCACCCACTTACTAAACACCAACTGTTAAAGCCAAAACCAGTCTCACATCATGCCTCTCAACTTTTCATCTTTATAATCATTTACACTTTCTTTAATCTTAGGTGCTTTCTAAGCATGATATAGAGATAAGCCTTATTTTTTGGGCAATGTGTGTTCTAGTAAACTTACACTAATTAAGGCTTTAAGCCTTTGATGCATAATATTGTGTAGTGGTTATACATGCTACAGTAGTGTTATAGGTTAGAATAAAGTACAATTATGTACACTAACCAAATAAATAAAAGAATGGAAAAAACAGAACTCACCAATGGTTGAAGCATAGATGCAACGGGGATGGAACAACAAAAAGACTATCTCACGGGAATTCAGCAACTTCACATCAGCATTTTGCTATCGTTTTATTACACGTATTTTAGGTAATAAAAGTTAGAGTAGATTTGTTTTTTTTTTCCCTAAACTATTTAAGTTTTCTTATTTTGTCCTCCAGTTATATAAAAAGTTATTTAATCCTATTTTTAGATTTCAATGTGTTCTACCATTAAGTACTTATGCAGCTCGAAAAATATAAAAGTACCAAATAACAAATTGTTATTTAGAAGGATTAGAGCTATCAAAACGAGTAATCCGGTTTAATCCGATCTGACTCACCATGGGTTGTTCACTTAATGAGTCAATCCAACCCGACTCACTTATTAGCGAACGGAAAAAATTCCAACTCGGCCCGACCCATCACGGGTTGGTGGGTTAAACGGATTGACTCACTAACTCATTTAATTATAATTTTTTTTAAAGTAAAAAAATTACAATCTTTTTTAGTTGAAATCTAAATAAACGTCACACTAAAATGATATTAAACAACAGAGACAATTTAAGAAAAAAATATCATATAATCCAAGCGTAATTTAAAAATATGTACAAAAAACGAACAAATAAGTTTTTAATATTGATAATTTTTGTATCACTTGTCCATTTATAATATTAGATTCTTGAATAGATATATCTATAAACATCTTCTCTTTATCACCATCTACAATATAATAAAAAAATACTAACTAATAATATTGAAACACAAAATAATAAATAATTAAATTAAATTAGGTGGGTTGGTGAGCCAACCCGACTCACTACGGGTTCAACCCAATCCAGCTCACCGCGGGTTTAAGCCAGGTTGGGTTTGAAAAAAATGTAACTTTTTTTTTATGCGGGTTAGTTTTCACTGACTCACTTAGAACCCAACTCACCACGGGTTTAACCCGACTCACCACGGATTTAATCCGGTGAGCCGGGTTCTAAGTGAGTCGGGTTGAAAACTAGCCCACATAAAAAAGTTACATTTTTTTCAAACCCAACTCGACTCAAACCCGCGGTGAGCCGGATTGGCTCGCAGGTTACAACCCATTTTGACAGCACTAAGAAGGACCAAATGGAAAAGTAGAGATATTTACAGAGGGGCCCCAAAATTGCACTTCGGGAACAAAATTAACAAAGGGACTGCATGGGAAATTAACAAAAATACAAGAGTAAATTATAACTCTTTGAAAACGGGAGATTAAATGGAAAAGAAATATTTTGAAGAACCAAAAACATCGTTGAGCCAACAAGTTAGTACAACACGATGTTTTCATCCTATGTTTTCAGTGATCAAGAATTTCAATGTTCATTGTTCAGAACCAAAATGCCACGAGTTGACAGGAAGTATAATACATGTATTTTCAAGCAAAACAATTGTTTCTGCTGAAATGGTTGTAATGAATGAATAAATCAATGAACAATAGGATACAACATACACATAAGATGATTAGTGGTAAGTTACATATAACCTAAACATTTAAAAAAGCTCAAACTTCAAAATCAACTATTACAACTAAAAAAACAGAGATATCTACTCACAGCATACTGGCTGGCGTTCTTTCTGCAATTTCTCCCAAAGGCATAGCACCATCCTTGGGCTTTGATAATGGGCAAGTACATAATTTGATTCACATCCGGCATTGTAAAACCTCTCATCATTCATATAACGCACTTCTTTACCACCATTCGCGAACTGTTCAATCCATATGCCCATGGCAACATCTTCTAATTTAAAGAGCTAAGAAATATCAAAAAAGGCAATCAAATAAATGTGATCTTCCATTAGAAGAGATTGAAAATAAATAATAAAAATTGTTGTTCAATAAAGAAATATAAGGCAGGGCGAACATAGGAGAAATGCAATGATAAGAATTAAACTTTTTTTAATAATACACCTTATGTAGTTTAAGATAATACTGGTTTACTTATGCCTATTTAATGGAATGGAAGTGAAGATTAAGACTTTCTTCATTTTTTATTATGATATCTTTTAATTGCTATATCCTCTGTGTATTTTCTTTTAGTTTCTCATTCTACTGTTACACATTTTTTAAACTGTTTCATAATTTCTTTCTTTTATAGTTTTCCTTTCTTCTCCTAACATCTTCATTTCGCTTTGTTTATTTTATATTGGTTTAACATTTTGTTTTCCTCATTCTCTTATCATGGTTAAGAGAAAAAGAAAATGGTCCAGCAGTCTGAGATGACTTACAATAAACTTTTCTTTTTTACAATCAACTTCATTTGTTTTTAAAATTAACTACTTTGAAATATATCAAATAGAAAATAATTATTAAATAAAAAAACATTAAGAAACATATCCTTGAAATATCCAAAAGACTCTAAAAGAAACACATCTTTAATCGCCCCATCTTGTAATGGAAAAGAAGAAATTTTTACCTGGAGTTTTCTTTCTTGATGACCATTGACAACGAATTTTGCTATGTCTCGAGAGATAACATAGCCAGGACCATGTGCCCATAGTGGGTATGTATCATGTGGCCATTCCTAAAATTACAATAATTAATAATATGAATAAATTTGGGTGTTGGTGGGGGAGGGGAAAATGCTAATTTAATTAATTAATAGAGTCATTCAGGCATGAATACCTCCTCACTGATGTACCACTTGCTGCCTTCATCCCTCTGAGGAGATGATTTAGAAGATATGAGACCGTATAAAAGGCCTTTGGATGGCTTTTCTTTGAGGCTGGAAAGCACTTCATCAATTCTTACAAAGGCATCATCATCTGTTTTCATGATGTATTTAGAAGGGATGATTTTTGTCTGCAATTTTAAAAACAAGAGCACGTTAAATACCTTGTAGAAAGTAAAGGCCTAAAGAGAGAACCAAATACCTACACAACTTTTAAATGATATATTTGATAGATATTAACAATTGCTCGATTATTGAAATCATTTTAAGGTCTTGAAAATAGTTACAAGCAACATCTTGATTCATAAACACAAAGTTACAAAAACCCTTGCTTAGATGAAAAATGACACTGTCACAGAAATAAAGGTTGTTAGAAAGAATAACTCAGAATATCATTATTGGATCTCCATAATACAAAGTGTCTTACATGATCTCTAAGGAGTAGTAATTAGAGTTCTTTTTCTTTTAATTTTGTATCACAATGCTATGTCAGTAAACTCTGTTTAGTATTCAACAAAAAAATTGAAAGAGACCAAATTGTGTAAATAAGCATTTGAAGAATCAAAAGTGCAGTTAAGTGTAAAACTTCATACCTCACAAAAACAATGTGTATATATACCTCCACACCACTCTATCTTGATAATTTACAAAAAGGCATTAATTGAAATTGTCTTAAAGTCAATGTGTAAGCAGTTGACTCAATAATTTGAATCGAGATAAACAATAGCAATCCCAATATATTTTGTGCATAATATCTTAATAAACTTACCCCCATAATGCAAATTGCAATTGTCTTCAAAGAAATCAAACTATAGTAATCTACAAAAGGCATTAATTGAATATCTCCGTATGCTTGAGCTTCAGTCCATAACTCAAAATTAACCCTATTGTTCTTGTGCTGCAATAAAATCAAATAAAATGTTATCCAACAATTATTTGAAAAGAGAACAACATTTCCCAAAAAAATTGCCATAATTTAGAATGCTTGGTGGACTCAAGATACAGAATTTCGTGGGTTAGAGTGCTAGAGATCAGCAGCTTTGGTTTCAACTTTCAACCACCATTCTCTTGCGCTAAAAACTAAAATAAATTAAATTATTCATTTTAATAATGAATACAACTTCAGCAATTCAGGTAATATCCCAACCACTTCATACTGTCATTCTACTTCTACATAATGCAACTTCTTGAGTATATTCCTTAAGGAATATGACACTAGCACTCCCATGCTCAGTTGTACTAAACTATTTTACAAATCGATATAAGGAATCATAAAACAAAAACCAAGCGCTTGACTTACAAACCATTGACTGATCACACCTATAAAAATGGTCAGTAAATTCAGAAATTACACTTCATCAATTTCTTTATAAACCAGCCAATTTCATCCATATTTCTTTCAAACAAAGATAAGTGCATAAATAACCAGGAAAGGATAGCTTTAACAAAATTCTGAGGCAGAATTAGTGCATAAACTAGAAGAAGATTTATACTAATGCATAGTTTCCTTTCAACAAGTTTAAAATGCATTGCTTACAAGCCCAATGAAAAATCGGACAGCAACTTCTCCAGAACGTACAGCCTCATATTGCATCCAAGACCTCCTTAGGGCCATGCGACGCTCAAAGTTGTTTCCAGTAGAGAACACTCCAATTAACAAAATAAGCCTTTTTCTGGGGATAGAAGGAGCCTTCAGATTCTCAACATCAGCAACTATATAATTATCTTCAGTAACAGGCAAACCTTTAGCCAGGATTGACAAGAGACTTAAACTGCCTGATACTTTAATACTGCTGACTAACCATGGTTCAAGTTTCTGCATAAAACCTGTACAAGGTTAAAATGACTAGTTTATTAAAAGCTTTTGGTTTTAGCAGTATTTCTCTTCCCATACCATACCTCCCTATATGCAAAAGATGTTTCATGCCTTCCATTCACAGTCATATGAAATCCCTCTGAACCAACCCACAATGTGGAAGTGAAAGGATTACCCTCAGCAAAGGGGAAAATAGCATTTCTATGTGCACTTTCTGAGGAAATATTAGAAGGTATACTAGCAGCTTGACCAAAATTTCCATTCCCTTTGCTGTTACTTCTGACTGCTTGCACATTGCAGGGAACAAGTCCATCAACTACAACATCCAGTTAGATAATTTAGAAGTTATGGCAAGCCTCCCTCTTAAACAACTGCACTCAAGAATAATAAAGGGTCCATAATAACACATAACAGAAGAGCTTTTTGTTATTAATTATTACATGATTAATCTTACAAACTTAGCTGCTTAAGCATGAGATGAGGTGTTGCCACTGCAGCTATAGCCTATTGAAGAGGGAAAATGATATTCAAACAAGACATCATCCTAGTTACGATATAAATTTACAATTTTACATCCTCTATAAGAAAAGGAAAATATTTCCAGTTAAAAAGTTTTTTTATCCATCGTAGTGTGCAGAATAGACTAATTTAACAACTAAAGATCTATAATTGCTCATCACTTTTAACAATAAAAAATTTAAGATTAGAAATGAAAAATTACTTAATATACCTTCTTGGATGTTGGCAGAGCCATGTGCAGGACACCTTTCTTCTTTTCCCCACCCTAAATCACTAGTCCATGTATTTTGAACAATATATGGTTCTTCTGTCATGTTTTCTCCCGGAAGACTCACATTATAATGCAAGATAACTGGAGGTTTTGGCTCCCCTTCTAGCTCTTGCCCAACAAGATCAATCTGGAAGCTTCTGTTTTGTCCATTGGGGATTCCAATCAGTGTAATAGAAGAATCTACCACCAGACCACAAGGGAGATCAAGAGTGATTCCATTATCTAGTTCAGCCTTACCAGGTGAAGTCACAGAGAATGGGCAGTTTTTATTTTCTGGGCCATCCATCTTATTAAGCTTGGAAGCTTTGTCCTCTTCAATGGTGGACAGCAACTCTTTCCATGCTACAGAAGCCTCTTTAATTCCTTGAGCTGTTTCATCCAAAGCATCTGACCTTGACAGCACGGTACGTAAGGAATCCCAAACAAGCACAGAATCCATCTCTCCTTTGGATAAGTTTTTCATACCATACAGATCATCGAGCCCTGCAACATGTACCAAATATGGCCTTTTTGTTGGTTTTGGTACCCTTTTTGATTCCATCTTGGAAGAGTTTACTGGAAGATTATTGCTTTGTTTGATAGAATCATCTGGTGCATGGTTATTAAAGAAATTGTATGCTGATTGTTTTGCTGACTGCTTCTGTGGCTGCATTCCTTTCAGGTTGTAGAGGAAAAATAGCATCGTACCCAGAGCTATTATCAACAGGCCTCCATACCACTTCCTCATTTTCGGTAAACCTTGAACCAAGTATAGCTTTTTTCTGCATGCAGATAAATTATACAACTTTCACTACAAAAAAAAGGACTAGAGTTGCACCACCTATTCGATAAAAAAAAAAAAAAAGAATAAAAGCAAATTGACAGAATACAATTGACATTATCTAATCTGAAATCCAATTATAGGAATGAACTCTAATCAGCCCTCCTTTTATGCTTTTTTGCAACTGACGATGAAGGAGCACATCAAGGTTTTTCACATCCACATAGGGAAATCCCATACCATAATACGGAATGGTATATATGAGCTGACGGCCATCAGAGTAACCTATTGAAATACTGAAAATGCATTACGAGCACTTGATTTGCAATTTTGGTGTTCAACTTACCATAACAGAGAGAAAATGAAGGAAGTGGATAAAGTTGAGGTTATTGAATATTAACTGACATGCTTTAACAATCAACTTTCACTATTTTTTCTAAAAAATAATCTTTAATGAGTGTTACATAGAACTAGTCCCTGAAATCATAAGCTCTATTCAATTTAGTCCTTTATGTTATAATAAGAAAACCAAGTGCCTAACTCTCAGAATTGACAATCAATTAAGCCCGGAAATTGCTTTCACCGGTCGGTCACTAGTCCTTAAGATTACATAATCAATTACTTTAGTTTCTGCAAGTGTTAACATTGATAAACTGATAGCTAAATTTAACACTCATCAACCGACAAGATCCCTACATTCTTAAACTGCAGAGCTACTTACTTGACTGTGCTAAAAAATGTTTAATACATGTAATGGTGACTGCAACATGTATTCAAGTTCTGAGCAGTGGAACTGAAACAACAGTCCAGAATATCATAATTTTATGCTCAGCGTTTAATTCAAATCTTATGGGGCACAAGTAATTTTGTTGTAAAGCCTCCACCTTTATATTTTATTTTCCTCCACAAAAGTGTAGAAAAACACAAGATCCAGAAAACGAAACAGAGAGAAAAGAGGGACTGACCATTGAAATGGTGGTTTGAAGTTAGAGAGAGAGACGGTGGGAATATGGGTGACACTCAAATTCCTCCATTGCAGCACCACCATTTCCATTTCTTCACTGCTACTCTACAGCCACGGAACGACGTCGTCTGGCGTTTCGGATGCCACGATGTCGATTGACACTAACCTAAATGTGATGTGTTGGACACGTGCAATAACGAAGTGACACCTCATTAAAATCTCAATAAAAATAATGCTAAATTAAAAAGAAAAGGAGTTCTTTCATTTCATCTTTGACGTTGCATCTTCCAAATTTGATCATATTTTCGACTATGAAGTAAAAAAAAGAAAACTAAAGTGCAAAAAATCATATGGATCGGATTACAAAAATATTGTGAAAATAAGTCAAATATTTGTTTAAAAAATAAAGTTAAAATACTTCATTTCTTGTATTTGTTTAAAATTTTTAAATAAGTCTTTATATTTAGATTGGTCTAATTTTTAAAATATATAATAATTAAGTTATTTTTTTAATATTAAATATTAAATATTTGTCACGAATGATTTTATCATTTAAAAAAAATTGAATAATAATTTTTTTTCATATTTCAAATGAAAATCGTGTCACCTATATGTAAAGTTATTGTTTTGAATTTTGATTTTGCATTTGTTATTTTGATTATTTTAGTTTTAATTTTTTAAAATTAAACAATTTTGTCCATTTTTAAATTGAGATCAAATATAACTTTTATAATTATACTTTTATTAAAATTGATAATTTTTTAAATATTTTTAATAATATTAAGTTTATTTAAATTTATAATTTATATTAAATTTTATTTAAAAATTGTTTTTAATTTTAACATCTGAATTTATAATTTTTTAAAATCAACTCTAGTAATTGTATAAATATTATTGATATATAATGTTGTATAATTATTTAAAATATAAATTTAGAACTTTATATAAATTTATATATAATTATTTGAAATATAAATTCAAATAAAAAATAATATTAAAATCTATGTAATAAAATATTACACAAATACTTTTAAAATTGTAAAACAAAATTAAAATAAAGTTTAATCAAATATGAATTTAAATAAAATTAACTTTATTAATCGTATTTAATTAAAATATTATTTTTTAATAAAAATATTTTTATAACATGTATAGAAAATTTAAATTTCGTATTTTAACCAAAAATAAAATTGTTTAATTTAAACAAATTTAAAATTAAATTGAGTCAAAATAATAAATATAAATACCAAATTGAGATTTGACTTACCTTAACATGAAACAAATAATTTAAAAAAAAATGAACAAAAAATAAAATTTATTTAAAAAATATTTAGAAAAAAACAGTTACATGTGTAATGTATTTAACGTTGTTAATATAATACTAATATAAATGATTTAATTGTTATATATTTTTAATAATAAAAACTCAATTTAAACTAATGAAAATACTTACTTGAAATTTTTGAATAAATACAATGAAAAATAAAATATATTAACCTTTAAAAAATATGTCTGTGATAACTTCTCATTTATCAAATTATTTTAAAATTTTAGACAAGATTACTTTAAAAATATTTCTTTTAAATATAAATTTTAAATTATAATTAAACGTTTTTAGTTTTTAAACATGTTTTCATTCATTATATTTTAAATTTTAATATATTTTAGTTCACAAACCCTAAAATGAATATTATTTTTTTAATTTAATTATATTATTATTTTTTAGTTTGAATTATATATTAAATAGTATAAGTAACTTAAACATTAACCTAGAATATGATATATGAAAAAAAAGTTAAAGTACCTATTTTTGCAGTTTAAGATACAATCAAGAGACACATCTCTCAGAGTTTAAAGTTTCAAGACAAGTCAACAATATTTACTAGAAGAAACTCATTACAAAAATATTTTTACATGGGTTTTTTAAAATACATTATATTGATCCACAAATAGACTTAGATATAAAAAGTCATATACATATTATATTTTATCAGTTAAAAAAACCGATATAAAATGACTAAAATATTCAAAAGAATATATTACGAGCAATGGTGAAACTCGTAACTATCAGCAAGACGAAACGTTTCGGAAGTACAACCGCGACCATCGGCGGTGCTACGCCTAGCGAGCTTGATGGCACCGCCGACTGCATTAAAATGTGCCACCCTACTTAATTAGTTTTATTTAACATCGATTCAAAATCTTATGGTTATTTTTATATTATACACTACTGATACTTTTACTCTAATATTTCAAATTTCTTAGCCTATCTTTTCTTTATCTTTCTTTTGTTAACTCCAGTGTACAAATTGACATTATTAATCACTTTCAAATTAACAAAATATTATATTTTCATATTAATTGTTTTAATATGAGTGTAAATTTTATATTATTAAATAGAAATAAGAGAATAAAATACTATAAAAAGATGAAGAATTTATTAATATATTATCTAAGATTTTGAATAAAAAATGATATTAATTTTTTATATGATTAGACTTAGTAATATTTGTGTCTTTCACGAATCCCTTTTTATGATCTAATAATTTTAAATATGGATATTCACTAAATATAATCTATTGTTATTTATTATGATTTATTGTTTAATTTTCTCTTAGAATAAGCCATTATTTGAATTTTCATAACTTAAATATATATCAAAAACACAAAATAATCAATTATCTCTACAATATAATTTTCAAAATATGGGTAATTATCAAAATTTTAATAGCTAAATACTTAAAATTGTTACTTTCTCTGCATACAACATTTTTTATAAATAATATTTTCACGGTATTTTTATTGTTTGAATAAGATATTTCATATTAATTATTTTAACATGCTTATTTATTTATTATCACTTAAAACAAGATGTGTAAATATTTTTGCCTCACATAAAACCTATTTTTTTTTATACCAATATCATTTTAAATATATTGTTTAATATCTGTATTAGTGTATTCAATTAATTGTTTTGTTTGTCTGAATATTTACTGTCTAGATAATTTGCACAGATAATTATTTGAGTTTTCTTAATATATATTATGTAAGAATTTTTGTTGTCATTAACTCTATTATTTTATATTAATATTATGAGAATGTTGATTAATGATAAAGAAGAGTGGTGTAATAATTAAAAGAAGAGAAAAAGAAATTAAGAAGCAGTAAGATGTTAAACATTATCCTGTTTGTGAAAGTTTGAGGAAAAAGTTAGAGTGATAAGAACGGGACATTATCCGTAGCAATGGCACCACACAAATGGCTTCTCTTGTTCTTCAATTCACTGCTCTCAAGTGCTCTCCACTCTCTTCTTCTTTTCTCTCCCAACCTTCCCTTTTCACCCAACATCGCCATAACCAAAGGCGCGCTTCAACTTCCATAGTCAACTCTGTAGCATTGGCCAATGCACAGAACAAAGAGAGAGTCCAGCTCAAGAAGCTCTTCGAAGAAGCCTATGAGAGATGCCGTACTGCTCCCATGGAAGGGGTCTCCTTCACCCTCGAAGATTTCACTGCTGCTCTCGACAAGTATGATTTTGATTCTGAAGTTGGCTCCAAGGTCACTCTCGCACTTCTTCTTCTTCTTCTTTTCAATTCAATTCTTAATTGGGTCGTCGGCAAACTAAGAAAGATCGTCTTTTTAATGAACATTGGGTTGCGGGTTTGGGTCAGGTTAAAGGCACTGTGTTCTACACAGATAACAATGGAGCAGTTGTTGACATCACTGCAAAGTCCTCGGCGTATTTGCCGTTGCAAGAAGCGAGCATCCGCAAGGTTAGGCACGTGGAAGAGGCGGGCATAGTTGCTGGGTTGAGAGAGGAGTTTTTGATCATTGGTGAGAATCAAGCGGATGATAGCTTGATCTTGAGTTTAAGGTCGATTCAGTATGATCTTGCATGGGAACGTTGCAGGCAGCTTCAGGCAGAAGATGCTGCTGTCAAGGGTAAGGTGGGTTTGTCGTACTACCGAACTGTGTTGGCTTCGGTTATATCGTATTACTCAAGCAATAAGGTTATTTTGATAAGATTATTGTATTGACAGATTGTGGGGGTGAACAAAGGTGGAGTGGTGGCTGAGGTTGAAGGGCTTAGAGGGTTTGTTCCATTGTCACAATTGTCAACGGTTAGCTCTTGACTTGAGCTACATTCACATTTATGGACTCACTAATTTTGATTCTCTGTTGGGTTTTTCATGCTGTGCCGTGTCTTTGAAATACATTGATAGGCATGATGTTTTATAATATATCAAAAAGATTTTTAAAGCTCCAACAAAAACCCAGCAAAGAATCTAGACTCAATCTAAACTTGCTCTGTATGCTATGTAACAGGTCAAAAACCGTCTTATCAATGAATGAGTGCACAACATTTAATAAGATTCCATGTAGACAGTAAAAAATAACTTCCTATATTCTCATTGAAGTTGAAATTGAGTCGTGCATTTTTCTTCAAAACTTATTTGCTTCTACAAGTTATAAATTATATCATTTTGCAGACTAGAAAATGAAACTTCTCATTTTCATTTCTGTAATTTCTGTCTTTCATTTAGCTTCTAAGACCCTGGGTTATTATTTTTTATACCTTTATCAAGCAGCTGAAATTCTTCTCATTTTGTTTATTATCTTCTCAGAACTCCAATATAGAAGAGCTTCTTGAGAAGGAGCTTCCTCTTAAGTTTGTGGAGGTGGATGAGGAACAATCTAGACTTGTCCTCAGTAACCGCAAGGCCATAGCTGGCAACCAGGCACAGCTAGGAATTGGTTCAGTGGTTACTGGCTCTGTTCAAAGCCTGAAGCCATATGGTGCCTTCATTGACATTGGTGGAATCAATGGCCTCCTTCACGTTAGTCAGATCAGTCATGACCGTGTAACTGATATCTCAACTGTTCTTCAACCTGGCGACATATTAAAGGTAAAACTATAGCGAGTAGTGTAGATTTTTGTCTGGATTGGTCATAATAGTTTTACAATTTGTTTAGGTGATGATCTTAAGT